CCGCCCCGCCCCGCCCCGAGCCCGCCAGCGTTCGGCCGTCGCGGCCAATCAGAGAGCAGATGCAAATGAGCGGCAGGGCGCGGCAACGGCAGGGGGCTGGCGCAGCCCGGGGCCGTGCCGCGGCGGGGACACGCGTGAGGCGTTGTCGCGGGGTAAGGACCCGGGTTGGTTTCCAGGTTAGCTGAAGCCCCTTCCCGAGAGCAAGCTAAGAGGGGGAGCCCCTCTGGCAGCAGCTCACCGCGGAAACGTGCATGGGACCCAGCTGGAAACAAGACTTCGGCCTCACCTGGCAGGGCAAAGGCCATGCCCGCTAAGGTGGCTTTCTCGGCAGGCGGTAGTCCCCTGACTGATGTCGTGCAGATACTTTCCTACTTCCTCTTGCAGTGGGAGGATCTCTGCTCTATGGAAAGGGGAGACTCGCCCCTAGCTTGCGGCTGAGGGCCAGCGAAACTCGGGGGCATCCGGATCCCGAGCCGCCGGGCTTGGGCCTGCGCGTGGGATGCCCGCCAAAGGATTTGGAAGCATCTGAAGCCCCAGGCGGGGGTGGAGGATGCTTGGCGGTAGCAGGGCCTCATATGGTTCTTGGATGACTCACGGATTGGGAACGGATTTGGCTGATTTGACTTGGGACACGAAAAATTAAACAAAAAAACAAACCGTTGGTCTTGAGCCGGCGGTGCATGCCTCTTATCCCCTTTCCATAGATAGTGAAACTGTGGCACGCAGAGAAGGGGGCAGCGGAGAAGACAGCTGAGGCAAAAACCTTGGCGGTTTTTAAGGCTGGTCTTGACAAAGCCCTGGCTGGGATGCTCTCGTTGGGGCTGGTCCTGCTTCGAGCAGGGGGTGGGACTAGAGGTGACCTCCTGACGTCCCTTCAACCCTCATTTTCTGCGATTCAATGAAGCGAACTCCGGAGTCCAGAGTCTGACCCGCTGTGTCCCCCTGATTTCACCCGTTCCTTCTATTTGCGGGTGACTGTTCAGCTTCCAGTGGGTGCTGTGAGCCCGGCGTGTCCATACTGTGGATGGCTTTAGATTCTGTGATGTTCACATAAGCTGCAGCACTGTCGGCTGTGGCGCTAGGGGTTTATGCATAGGCAGGGTGGATCTAACAGCAAGTGGATTTCATGAGAGCTGTAAGGCCAGGCTCAGCTGAACCAACAGCCAGGGTCCCCTTTCAGGGCCAGGCTGGGGGATCAGTAAATTAGTATCAGGTCTTCCAGGGGTTCGCTATCTGTCTTGTCCCACCTGGGTAGAAAGCAGCCTGTGCATTTGGACAGCAAGTAGCTCCTCTGGCTCGCACTCTTCTCATGAGCACATGTGCCTTCTAGTGTGTGGGCTAAACAAAATTCAACTAAAGAGCTGTCTGGGCATACAAAGCAATGCCCAAGACTTGATGTACCTTTAATGTCTTTTTGATTCCTCAGTTATGTGATGACCACTTCTAAAAAGTTGCCTTCCAGGCCTCTTGCTCTGTCCTCCTTAAAGACTGACTCATTCTTCGCTCGCTTCTTTTTGCAAACATGCTGCTGCATTCAGGGTCCCCTGCTTCTGCAGGCCACAGCCCAGGGTTCTGCCACAACTTCTACTTGCCCAGCCATAGCCCAGATCCTGCTCTGTATGTAACTGCATATGTTACCTTTGCACTGGTGTCCTAAGACAATGAGTTTCTGGCTCTGTGCTGTGAGGCAGGCTGGCACAATGACTCATGCAGAAGGAAACAGATTGCCAACATTTGACAGGCCCGTGGGTGGTTTTTGGGATGCACAGATGCTCGGCGTCTGGGCTGGTGACGCTTCTCAGTGTCACCAGCCCAGACACATGGTGCCCCCTTCATCTGGCTAAAGTCTGTGGGTTTTACATGAACCAAGACAAAACACTACATCTTAAACTGCTGTACAGGATGGGCCCCTGAAAAGAGACATTCCATGTGTTCAGGACACTTGGCCATGCTCTCATGTAAGTAACATATGAAACAGGAATCAGAGATATTATATGTGTAACAGTATTATAATCATGGACCTGGGACAAGTCTCTGTTCTGTTTTGAACAGAGGTTTGCTCCAGCTTGCTTCTGCTCTGGGTTTCTCATGCCCATAACTTTAACAGTTACACCACACTTGCCCCTCATATTTTCCTTTCTTCCCTGCTCTGCTTTCCTCATCCTTCTCCTGCCACTGGTCTTTCCATGCAGCTTATCCCCCCACTTCTCCAGCTAAACAAACTATAGACCCCAAAACATTTGCACCCTCTGCGTTGTTCTTATTTACTTAAATGACAGGCTTTTCAAAGCAGAAACTATGTGTTTTCTTATATCCACGCTGGCCTCAAAACAGTGGCCCCTGGTCCTGATTGTCCCCCCAGCACTAAGGTAATACACATGATTATTAATTATAATGATAAAGTGGTCTCTGTAACCAGCTGGACCTAAATTGTGCAACAGGGACCTTAGTTTTGGCTCTGCCCTGAGGCTGAAAAATGGAAAATCTGTGGCAGTTTCATTTACCGGAAAGTGGAGGTTTTTAATTGCACATTAATTGGATCCTGCAGGTGGTTCTGTAGTCGCTGTGTTGTTTATTTCCTGCTGCCTGTGTGTTTCAGTTTTCAGTTTTGGCTGACAATTTGCCTGGTGAACAGGAGATGACAGGGGGAAGAGGGAGCTTTTGACAGCTGGGTAGTGGGCATCTGGATGTTCTGGCACCAGTGAAAAACAGGATGATAGTCTGGGGTTGTGTGTAAGCACCTGGATTGCAATCATCTGTGAAATAGTTCACTCTGTTGAATTGGAATGATCATCCTTAGATTTCAGTGTCACTGCTTAACGGAGATGAATGGAACAGTGCACACCTTGGGCTGGAGATAACCCTGAATTGCTTTATGTTTGTTTCGTATTTCCAAGGCTATCTCAGTTAATGCTTAGATTTCAAAGTCCAGTTCTGCGGCAAGCAGTGGGTTTTGTGGCAAATTCCACAGTCCAGGAATCACATAATGCAGCACCAGATGCTGATAACGTTGACGGTATCAGGTAAGGTAAAGGTTGTGTTCTGGAATGGGGTTACGAGCACCTCCAAGCTGGCTCTCGGGCATGAGTCACTGGCACAGACTACAGATAAAGGCTCTATCTGCTTGACAGAGATGATAAACTTCCAAGGCCACCCCCATATTCAACCTCATCCTGTTGCATCAAGCCTGCTCCTAGCACCATTCAATACTGCAAGCATAAACAGCCATCATTTATAAAGCCAACAGGTTTTCATTAGCTTCTTAACTGTAGCAAATAGTACAAAACCCTCTTTCACAGTAGTACAGATGCCTAGAGCAAAAAGTGACTAGATTAGGATACATTTCTGGTAGACTCCCTGGAGGGCCAGGAACAGAGGACTGAAAAGGGCTTCCTGATTCACTGAGTACAGCCCTCAGCTACTGCAGGGAGCCATGTCATAGAGATTTCATCAATTTATCAGGGCCCATCTTAAAAACAGTTCATGTTTTGTTGCTGCGACTCCTTCTGTAACCTCATGCCTCTGATGGTTAAAAATCATCTTCTAATTTCCATCTTAAATATAGCCATGACCAGTTTATACCCATTTGGATTTGGGCCAAAATTGTCCTTTCACTTAATTAGCTCGTCTCCCTTTCCAGTGTTTACCTCCCTAATGTATTTATAGACAGTAGTTGCATCTTCTGTCAGCCTCCGTTTTCCTTGGCCAAACAAATCAACTTATTTTCACCACCTCTCATAAGTAGGTTTTTCACCTTCCAGACTGGGTCTAATATCCAGTATCCCGTCTCTGACAGTGGCAAGTAGTAGGTGATCATCCCTGATCACAGCGACCATTGACCATTCTAGATGTCTCCCTCTGCACTGACTCCCATACAGGTTTCCCTCAATTTATGCAGTACATGCATTCCCAGAGAACGGCACATAACTCAAATTCGCATAAAGTGAACCCACTTTACAATGTAACAAATAGGGATAGGTTCCCATGGTGGTGAGAGAGGGAGGGAGTGAGTGAGGCTGGGCCCCTGAGGGTCTAGGGAAGGGGCAGGGACAGGGGTGCTGCTCCCAGGCTGCACAAGGCAGCAACACAGAGGGAACAGAGGCATTCACCCCAGCCCCAGCTGCAGCGGCCCTGGGAGCAGCCGACTCCAGCTGCCTGTAGTTGCTGTGCTGCACTGTGCCCTGGTGCAGGCAGCTGGTGTCAGCTGCTCCCGGGGCCGCTCCAGCATGGGCTGGGGTGAGTGCGGACAAGCGGAGCCCCGGGTGGCATGGGGAACGGTACTCACTCCGGCCCAGGGAGCAGCTGACACCAGCTGCCTATAGCAGCTGGGCTTCACCGTGCCCCAAACCCCCTGGGGCTCTGCTGGTCCCTGCTCACCCCTTCCCATGCTGGAGCGGCCCTGGGAGCAGCTTACTCCAGCTGCCTGTAGCAGCTGGGCTGCACTGCACCCCGAACCCCCAGGGCACTGCGAATGGGGACCGGCAGAACGCCCCGGGGGGGGGGGGGTTGGGCATGGTGCAGCCCAGCTGCACCAACTGGTGTCAGCTGCTTCTGGGGCCAGGGTGAGTGCCATGCCCCATGCTGCCCGGGGCTCCACTTGTCCTCAGTTGCCCCTTCCTGTGCTGGAGCTGTCCTGGGAGCAACCGACACCAGCTGCCTGCACCAGGACACAGTGCAGCCCAACTGCTACAGGCAACTGGAGTTGGCCGCTCCCAGGGCCACTCCAGCACGGGAGGGGGTGAGTGGAGAGCAGCAGAGCCCTGGGGGGTTTGGGGCATGGTGCAGCCCAGCTGCTGCTGGGGCTGGGATGAGTGCTGTGCCCCACACTGATTGGGGCTCCATTTGTCCACACTCACGCCGGCCTGTGCTGGAGCAGCCCCAGGAGCAGCCAACACCAGCTGCCTGCACCAGGGCAGGGTGCAGCCTAGGAGCAGAGGTGAGTGCAGACAAGCTGAGCCCTGGGCGGCGCA